AAGAGATGGGATTTTGCACCCTTGCTATTATAATCTTAACCACACTTCTTTGTAGTAAAAAGTTTTAAACTAGTTGTAGAGTAATTTAACTAATTTGGATGCACATTTCTTTTAAAGTCCATATTCACTATTTTCTTTTTAAAAATATTTTTCTACTAAAAGAAAGTATCTATGTCATTTTTCATCTGTTTTCCACTATATATGTGAAAATTAAACAAGCTTTTTAAAATTATTATATGTGTTCTGTATAGAATATTTATAAAATTTTCGAGAAACTTTCGAATTTAAATTTTTAAACGATAAACGATGATTTTTAACTGATTCAAATTAAGAGAGTGACTGTTTTAGATTCATCATTGTTTTACAGCAATCAATATAAAACATTGATATTGAGTAAACTGTTCGTTTAGATTCGATTTTTCTCCATAAATACAAGAAGGGGTTAAAAAAAATTTATATAAAGAATAAAAAAGTTAAATTTATATTGCATTGTGGGAGGAAATTTTTTTTCTTTTTTTTTTTTTTTTTTTTTGAAAAAAGGATATTTAAAAAAAACAGTATGTGTATAATTAACGCCCTGAAGGGAATATAGGGTGTACGTACTATATTAACTCCATAAATCTATAATAATTCGAGCTCCCTTTACGTTCACCCCTCTATTCTATCCTATCACTGCAGTCGGCTGGATCAGACAGTTACCCTTGTGCGTGAACATGAGGGTTGCAAAAGACAGGGGCAGAGAGAGAATCTGCGAAAGGTTTGTCTCATTGCAACACGAATCTCGCTTATATCCAAAAGCAAACACCTTTCTTGAAAAACTAAACACTCGAAACAAAACCAAAAAAAAGGTAATTTTTTACTTTATTTTATACTTGTTTTTATGCTTATAGATAATTCGTCTTATTTGACAGTATTACACTGTTAACTTAAAAATATTGTAAAGTGGAACGAATTGATACCAGAAAGTGGATCGAATTATAAATTTAATTTATCCAAATTTTTAGTCACAATTTGATCCAATTTAGCATCAAATTGATATATCTTTCAAAAGGGTCCGATGCACTTGGGAAAAAAGCTATTATATTAGCCATGATATCTTTCAAAGAAAACTGTGTTCTTGAAAGTATTTTTTTTTTACATTTCTATCATAATAGATTTTCCCCGCTCATTATGTAATTCTTTTCTTCTTCCTCTTCTTCTAAGAATATAAGTTTTTGAGGTTTCTTTGAAATTATTATGCATAAACCGTAACATATGTTGCGCACATGAGTTTTACATATGGTGCCCAGTTGACTGTTGCGGGGTCAAGAATTTCGCCATAAAGGAAAGTTGAATTTCTGTTTCTTGTTGCGAAAACGATGTTCTTTCTATTTCCGTTATTTCTATGTTTATCCAAGTTACCTTCTCGATGGTAAAATAAGAAATGTTTATTAATTTCCGAACATTATTTTGACCCACTCTCCTGAATTACTTAAAACTATAGTTCTGAAAATAGTGAAAATTTCGATTAATTTTTAGTGAAATCTTTACTGTAATCCGAAAGGGAAAAAGCCGTCATTGAAAATTACAAACAATTGATAAAATTTTTACTATTTGTTAGTAGAATTTTACTATGATTCAAATTACACTGTGAAAAATGACACTGCAAAAATTAAGTAACTTAAAAGTGACTACAAAGGTACTTAAAACATCTTATATATTAAGATACAACATCTAAATTAAGAAGTTTTAATTAATGTCTTAATTAAGATGTTTTATCTTAATGTAAGATGTTTTAAGTAACTTTGTAGTCACTTTTAAGATACTTAATTTTTGCAGTGAAATCTTGTTTCAATCCTGATTTTGACTAAAACAACTTACATTAGTCCAAATATTGACTAAATTTCTCAGTAGGGAACTGATTTTAAGACCTAAAATTCTCTTATTTTCATTGTAAGCCCAAAAATGGGTTGAATTTAAAAAAACATGTTTGAGCTGTAAGTACTTTAAAACTTTGTTTTTACAGTGTAGAACAAGGTATTATGAATCAAAACTTTTCTTAAGTATATTAAAAATAAAGCAAACACTGTAAAATAAGGCTTCTTATTTAAGATACTTTGTAGATATACTTCCAAGTTGTCTCAAAAAATCTAAAAAATAAAATTGCATCCTTTTAGAGGCTTAGGAATAATTAGTTATCAAAAACATCTTCAAACACTTCAAAAAGAAGTATCTTAATTTAAAATTGTTTTGGTAGTAATTTCTAAGATGTTTTGGTAGACAATTTATAGTTATTTGAAAGATCTTAATTTAAGATTTTAAAAAGTATATCTTCGTACACATTTTCAGCATATTTTTTGGGAAAAAAGTTTTGAGGTTCACAGAAAAAACGATAATATAATTTTAAGATGCTCCTAACTTAAATAGGAGCCAAGAATATTCCCTACTTAAATTTAGTGGTGCCACTTAATTTAAGTGGGGAATATTCTTGGCTTCTATTCAAGTAGGCGCTTTTTAAAATTAGTTTATCGTTTTTTCTGTGCTAACTCTCTAAATCTCTGAATTAATAGAAAGTTACTAATGAAATGACGAAAAGTCTTCCACCAAATAATTAAGTAATAATTTTACTATAACAAATAGTGAAATTTTACCAATTGTTAGAATAGAGCTTTACTAATTGCTTAGTATAATTCTACCAACAATTAGTAGAACTGTTTTTATTAATAATCAATAAAACAGTTTTCTAAGGATATCAAATTGAGACAAAAAACGAATCAAAAGTGTTGCGAAGCAACGTTTATAAATTTTACCAATTGTTAGAATAGAGACTTATTTCACTAATTACTAAATTAATTACTATTAAGTACTTAAAATTTTTGTATCATAAAGCCAACTTTTGGTGACATTTGTATTCAAATGGATAAATTTTACAAAACTTTTTGTGCTTCATTTACAAAACTCAGAATCGGATCATTTCTAAAACTTTCTAAAGGTGAAAATTTATGAAAAGTAACAAACTTTTCTCTAACTTTAAGAGTAACTTCAGTAAAATTTTCTAAAATATTTTACAAATTTTAGAAAAATTGCTTTTTTCCACATAATTATATACCTGAAAAGTGAAAAAGAATGCCGGAAGTACAAGTGTGTGTCTGTGTGTGAAAAAATAGCCTAGCCAAAAAATGTTCAACCTTGAAGAAAAAAAAAAAGGAGAAAGGTCTCAAAAAAGTGAACAAGTGAGAAGAAAAAAGAAACGAAAAAGAGGAGAAGGAAAAAAAAGAGAGAAACTGTGAGAAGAAGAGAAAAAGGAGGGAAAGAAGAAAAATGTGAAGAATGAATTGGAAAAAAAAGGTAAAGGCAGAATGTGCGCCTTTTACTGTAAATTGTAGGTATCGTAATTTCTCTCTCTAATAAAGAATCCGCGAGTGGTAGTTGATTTTTTTCTTTTTGGTAGCTATATATATTCACTATGCTACAAATCAACGACGTTTTACCGATTCAAATTTAGAGCTTCGACTTCCCCTGCGACTAAAGAAGAGAACGATTCGCGGCTTGCCACCGGAACGGTAGAACCTATCAAATCCTAAAGGCCAAATACACCGACTCGTTTCCCCTGAGTCTGAAACACATTACGGGTGAGAGGAGAGATGAAGGGAGTCAAGGTCATTGGCAGCTGCTTTGAAGTCTGCACGCGTACCTAGATGTCCAATGTTCCTTTTATTTTTCGGAACTCGAGTTCTTGAAAGAATTATGATCTTTAGGTATATTCACACTTTCTTCTTCATTATCATCATATTTAGAACAAAATAATTCCGCAGTTGAAAGTTTCGTAAAAAAGTTTCTTATGTTTTGTAAAGAATTCGTACTTGTTTGTTTTTAACTGTAAAAATTAAGTCTTAAAGCACTTATAAGCTTAAACATACATTTTAGGTAGAAATAAAAATTTAGAATTTGGCAATTTTCGAGCAATTTTTTCTGATCAGTGGTGGACTAGTTGTTGTTAAGTGTAATCTTAAATAATTTTTGAAATTCATTGACTGGGAAGTGTTTGGAAAAAAGTTCTTACACTGCAAAAATGAAGTATCTTAAAAGTGACTAAAAAGTTAATTTTTGCAGTGATATTACGATTACGATCAGTTTAAGCCGAAATCCGACTAAAAAAAAGATATATTTTTTCCAGTGTGTAATCCCTACATTATTGCATAAATAATGCAGTGATAATTCAAATGATATGCTAATAAAGAGATATAAAGGTTGAACATTGAGCTGGAAAGAGATTAAAGATTATAAACACCCTTATATAGTATATATATATAGAAAAGTTGAAATGAAAAGGAGACGCATGATCCGTGAAAAAGTGTCATCCTGGACCCTCTTCTTCTTCTTCTTCTTCTTTTTCTCCATTTTTACAGTTTCTCAGGTCAGAACATTATAGTAGAGGTTTCACAAATGGAAAAGTTTTAGAGAAGGGATATTTCTCCGTCGAGTCTCTTTTCCTTTTTAACTTTAAAACCGATATAGAGAGAATTTTGTAGGCGGTTCCATCGTAAAATCTCACCAGACCTTCCGTTAGTAGGATCCATTTTTAAAGCCAGTCGTAAATGACTTAGGTAGGTGGAAACTATAAGTTGAATGCTTTTTCCAACTTGAGAAACAACTAATCTTTCTTTTCAAAATTCCTCCCGTATTCAAATGAAAACTTGACTTTTTACAACTATCGTAATTTTTATTTTTACCATTTTATTTTATAGCTGTTTTATATTTGAAAGTCAACAACACGATAAACTATTTTTTATGGTTATTAAAGACACATGGCTAATTTTTATTTTTTAATGTAATTTCGTCTGTTTTAATTCATTGATTATAGAATTACACTTATTCGGAAAAAATAAATTAAATAAATTAAAGTAAGAATAAAAGAATTTATATGTGAATTAGATTATTAATTAATCAATAGTTTAATTAAAATGTTATTATTTAAAAATATGCAATTTCAATTGGCAATGTATTTGCTTCTGTTACAGATCGAAAACAATGATAGGCTTCGTGTTTCGCACTTGCAATCGACTCGGCAAGAAATCATGTTACGTGGTGACTCGTAATTCATCGAGTGCAAAGCCTGAACTGACATCAGTCAGGTATAAAGTGGAGCGAGGACCTTACGCCACATTGACTGAAAGTCATGTCAACTTTTTCAAGAATCTTCTCGAAGAGAATAGAGTCATCACGGATTCGGAAGAATGCGAAGGCTACAACATTGACTGGGTCAAAATGGTCAGGGGTAAGTCTGGAATAAATGTTCAAAATTTAAATCACCTTTTTTGTGTTGGAAAAATTTCTCTAAATTTCAATATAGTTAAAAGTACTTATTTAAATTAATTTTTCATTCACTTTTTTCACTTATTCAAATTTAGAGAATTGATTCAAACAATTAGTATATCAGAGTTGATACAAAAAGATTTTGTTTCCCTGATTTTCAGACGGAATTTTGACTTTTTCCCTGTTTCCTATAAAAAAAAAATTCAATATTTAAAAAAGGATCATTTTTAGAAGTAAAAATTATATCAAACTTGTATATAATTTTTTAAATAAGTATTTAATTGTTCTTAATTTATTCACGCAGCAATTAAAATTTTCAAAAAGTTTAGATTAGTTGAAATAAATAGGTATTACTTTTAAAATCATTGCAATTATTCAGTAATTAAATTATTATTTTGACAAATAAATAATAATAATAATAATATTATACTAAATCTTAATTAGTAGATTCTACTGCCAAATAGTAAAATTTAAACAAAATTTTTGACAGTTAAGTCAGGTAAATGTCATGAAAAAAATTTTTTGTCAGGGAAATTAAGAAAATTGAGACTTTTTCGAAATATTTTCAAAAATTGCGACTTTCTCGACTTTTTTTCCAAACATTGCAACAAAACACCACAATTTTTAGTGAAAAAGTGCAACTTATCTTGATTTTTATACTGCAAAAAATAACTATAAACAAATTTTTTAAAAACTGTTTTTGAATAGTTAAAATTTTGTAAAATTTAATTGAAAATAATTCATTTATTTTAAGTATTTTGTTACAATTTTTCAAAATCAACTTTTGAAGAAGTTTAATTGCAAATTTTGAAAATAATTGAATTATCAAAAATTTTAATGAAAAATTTTTAAAGGTAAATTTAAAATTGAAAATAAGTTTCCAATTATTTAAAATTCAATATTTTTAATATTTTCAATTACATATTGAACCAAAAAGGTTTTTTTAAATTATTTAAAAATTCTTTTAAGAAATACAATTATTTTCGAAAAATTACACTAATAAAATATTTTTAAAAACTAATTATTAGAATTGTTTTTTAATAATTTTTTAAGATTTGATTTAAAATTTGATCACTTTTATTTATACTTTTCAAAAATTGAATTATTTTTAAAAGATTTTAACAAACTTTAATTGTTTGAAAATTTTTCAAATAATTGAAAAACTAAAATTATTTTAAAATATTTTAAAAAAATTAATTGTAAGAATTTTTTTATTATAATTTTTTGAAAATATTATACCTTAATAACTTAATAACTTAATTTTTTTTTTAAATAATATTCAAAAGAATTAAGTAAATCTAATAAGAATTTTGCTATTTATGGAAATAATTGAATTCTTGAGAAGAATTTTTTTGTAGTTTCTAGAAATATTTGAATTCTTTCGACGAATTTCAATAAAATGAATATAATTATATTTTTCGAAAAAATTCGATTAAAATTATTATATTAAAAATAATTGAAATTCTGCAATGAGTTTTACTATTTATGAAAATAATTGAATATATTGCGAAGAAAATTTTAAAAATATAATTACAGCAACTAACTTACCTTGATTATTTTCAAAAAATTTTAATAAAATTTTTTAAAACAATTTAATTATTTTTAATAGAATGTAAAGAAATTTCAATTATTTTAAGTCAAAAGAAAAAATTGTGTTTATTCGTAAGAAAAAATAATAAATTTCTAATTTTAATTTATTCTCTCCGAATAAACGTAATTTTATAATTAAAAGTCGATAAACCAGTTGCACTAATTCATTTAGTGAATATTCATTAAATATTTTTTTAAATGATTAATTATTAATTAATTAATTATTATCGACTTATTTATTTAACGACTTTTAATAAAACAGTTCTACTAATTGGTATATAGTAAAATTTAACTAATTGCTGTAGTAAAATTATTACTTAATCATTTAATCGACGACTTTTTGTCACTTCATTAGTAACTTTCTGCTAATTCAGTTTTAGATTTAGAGAGTGTTATTTATTATTGTTCTTTTTATTTTTTTTATTATTACTATTATTATTATAATTTTTTAAAAATCTTTTAGGAAACAGCAGGCTTGTTTTGAAACCAAAAACTAGAGAAGAAGTATCAGAAATTTTGAAATACTGTAACGATAATCGTCTTGCTGTTTGTCCACAAAGTGGAAACACTGGACTCGTTGGCGGAAGTGTTCCAGTTTTTGATGAGATTGTTGTCTCTATGCGCCTCATGAACAAAATCATCAACACTGATGAAATGTCTGGTTAGCACGAAAATCACTTGAGATTTAATTAAATTCCTTAGATATGTAGAATTTTGGTGTGTGAAATTTTCATTTAAAAATTAAGCGTTTATTGCGGAAATATTTTTTTCGAATTAAAAAAATATTTTCATCTATATATATAGAGATATATATTTCAAAAATAGAAAATGTACACATGAACCAAAGAAAATATCTTGAAATTATTTAAAGTATCTTAAAAGAAGCAACAATGTAACTTGAAATTTTATAAAACTAATGTTTTAAAAGGAGAATTTCACATATACAATATGGAAATTTAATATGATCTGTATACAGTGTCCCTTTTGTGTAAATAGACAGGAATTTCATTTTATTTACAAAATGCCTTTAGGTGTGGTGGTTTGCGAAGCGGGATGTATTCTCGAAACTTTGGAAGAGCATATGAACAAAGTGGGCTTAATTATGCCTTTGGATTTAGGAGCAAAGGGTAGTTGTTTGATTGGTGGTTGCGTTTCTACCAACGCCGGTGGTTTGAGATTACTTAGATACGGAAATCTACATGGAAATATTCTAGGACTCGAGGCTGTAAGACTATTTTTCATTTAAGATGAAAACACTGTTAGAAAATTCAATTGTGATTTTACAAATTTTCTTTCTTTCTTTTGGAGGGGGAAAATATATTTTCGTATATATTATTCTGTTTTAGGTGAAAGCTAACGGAGAAGTTGTTAATTGTCTAAATACTCTTAAGAAGGACAATACGGGTTACCACATGAAGCATTTGTTTATTGGATCAGAAGGTACTTTGGGAATTGTTACGAAAGTTGCCATTCAATGTCCACCTTTACCCAAGGCAACAAATGTCGCATTTTTAGGTTCGAAATTTTCCTCTTTTTTTCTTTCTATGTAAATTGAAATGTGTTTTTACTCTCGTTTATTAATATTATTCAATCCTATTTATTGTATGTCACTAAAAATAACACATATTTTTGTGGAACACTTAAAAATAAGTGATTCAGATTTAGAGAGTTAAACTGAAAAACAGAAATGCTTTTAAAATTTTAAAGGTATGTTTTGAATATAGGACTGGAAAATTTCGACAGTGTGTTAAAAGCATATTGTTTGGCGAAAGCCGAATTGGGCGAAATTCTATCTTCCTGTGAAATGATTGACAGGCTTTCGTTGGAGGTATGCACCAAGTACCTTCGTTTACAAAATCCTTTAGCATCGGGTGGCGATGGTCATAATTTTTACATGCTAATTGAAACAGCTGGAAGTCAACTTGCACACGATCAAGAAAAATTGACGAATTTCGTCGAAAAGGCAATGAACGAGGGTATCATTGTCGATGGCACCATGTCCTCAGAGCCATCTAAAATGAAGGTCAGTTTATTTCTTTTGTATTTCTTTCTCGTTTTTCATTCTTTTTTTCCAACTTTTAAACTGCTTTAGTGGTCTGACAAAACCGCTATCAAAACTTTCTTTCCTTTTATCTAAAGTACAATAGGAACTTGAGCTTTTCATTGGCATAATATTTTATAAAAATCTGTTGAGTAACAATTTGTCTAAATATTTTAGATTCGATAAATTTGATGAAAGGGAATTCCCAAAAAAAGGATCATAAAAATAATCTAATTGTATTTTATTTATGATCCTTTTACCTTCTTTAGTGGAGCTTTTTTAATTTTATAGAATAAAGTATAATTTGTTTTTATTGAATATTCTCGATGTAATAACAATAAGGGTTGCCAAGCAATCTGAAAATCTGGAAATGTCAGGGAATTTGAAATTAGCAAAAGCTTAGCAACTCTGAATAAGGATTTAAATTATAGTTTGTTATAGTTTGCGCTGAGAATTGATACTTTTCTTTTTTCACATTAAAGAATAAAAAATAAAAACAATAGTCTATATAAAATTATTTCTTTCTTCTACTTCAGAATATTTGGGCTCTACGAGAAAGAATTGCTGAAGGCATCATGCATGAGGGTTACACTTATAAATACGATGTTTCATTGCCGCTGAAGAATTTTTACAAAGTTATCGAAGTTCTTCGTCAACATCTCAAGAGTCCTGATATACGAAGAATCAGTGGTTACGGACATTTGGGTAAAGTACATTACTTTTTTTTAATATTTATCTTTCCTATCCTATTATATGTGAATGTTTTTTCTTCTATAACATTGTTATCAGTGTTTTTTTGGTATCAGATATTATTTTTTAAATTTTCATCAAAAATAAGAAGGTCTTGGATTTACTCTTATAGACATTTCTTCTATTTGTATAATTTTTACTTCTGTTTGCATTTTCACTTCTATTTAAATTTATCCTCTGCTATTTGCACCCTTATGTATGTATTTTTTCTATCATCTGTTTTTTTATTGTCGAAAAAATATTCTTCGTTTAAGTTAAATTTTCTCGAAATAGGGAGAAAAATAAAAAATTTTCTTTTGATTATCTTGAGGAAATTACAGCACGAAATTGTTCGTTTTTGAACTATCATCAATTTCTTTAGTTGTACGTGCACGTGATTCCTTTTTCGAATATAGAAAACAACGAACTTTTATTATCATTAAGAGGAGATTCTTTTACATTGGTGAAATTCACAACGTTTATAATCAAGGATTTTGAAAGAAAAATTATTTTCTTTTCTTTTCTTTTCTTAAAAAAATTGTTAACAATACACTGAAAAAAATTTATTTCATTCAAATAAATTATTATTATAATAAATTAAATTATTATAATAATAAATTATAATTATAATTATTATAATAATAAATTATTATCAAATAAATTTATTTACTTAAATAAAATCATTTTTATTTAAGTCAATTAAATGGTTCAATTCATATATTTGCATCAAATACTGAAATTGTTTGTTCGAATAAAATTTGTTTGATTTAAATAAAATTTCTTTCTTTCAAAGCAAATATTTAAATCGATAATAGACAAGTAGTCGAATATTTGAACCAAACAAATTATTTTTCTGTGATCAACAATGCTTAAAATTTATAAACAAAAAATATTTTTTCCTTTCAATTGTTGATCGAAAACGTTGTGTAATTGGTCAGTAAAATCAGACAAATATCAGGGAATTTTATCAAAAGCATATTGACAATTTTATTGCAATGTACAAAAATAATTAAATTACAGAAAGTTGCTAAATAATTTTATCAAAAATTCTGAAAAAGAATTAGGCTTCTCAGAAATTTTAATTCAATTTTTTCAAAAAGATATTTAAATAAAAAAAAATCTTATTAAAGTATTATTATTGAAATTTCGTGAAAATTGATTTGAAAAGTATTCCATTTTTATTTTTTAAAGAATTTTATTAGAGATTTTAGAAAAAATGAATTTTCAAAGAATTTTAATCTAATAATTTATAATAATTGATAATAAACAAGATGATTTAAAATTAATTTTTCAAGATAGTTGGAATTTTATAGATAAACAATAGAAAATTTTTGAAATATAATTTCAAATTTCGAAGAATTCGATTAAAAATAATTGAATGCTTAAACAATTTTTTTGAAATTTTTGAAAATAATAGTAAGAAGTAATAATAGTAAAAATTAAAGTATTCAAATTTTAAATTAATTTTTTGCTTTTAAAGATGATTTTTTTTTCTATAATTGAACTCCCCTTAAATTTATTCTTTTTAGAAATTAGGGAAAAATTTTAAATTCTTTATGTAAATCAGGGAAAAGTCAGGAAAAAACGAAATCAAATGGTTTGATTCATCTATAAAAATTATTTGATTCAAGTATAAAATTGTTTGATTTTTTCTGTGTAATAATAATAAAAAAAAAATTATAATAATAATAAAAATTAAAAAATAATAATAATAAAAATTTAAAAAATAATAATAATCATAATTTGAATAAAGGAAGTTACATCAAAATTAAGAGGAATTCCTTTAAACGAAGAATATATTTTGCTTTCGACGTACTAATTTTTTTCATTATTTATCCATTTATTGCAATGCCTTCTAGTTTAATTTTAACTCAATTTAACATAAATTTATTGAAATTTATTATTTATAAATTTTAATGAAAATTATCGCCATTATAATTTAACATTAAATCAGGTTACGGATTCTGAAAATAAATCCAAACGTTACGATTTCGATTTTATATATACCTATGAGAAATTTATCAGGTCATTCCAATATTATACTGTCTATATTTTAAAATCGATTGTTTATTATAAAATAATATAAATTTCATCAAAGAAAATCTTTATAGTTTATAATCCCGGGAATATTTCATATATATTTATGGAGAAAATCTTTTTTATAATCAAGTTTTTCAAAACTAACGATAAAGCCAGATTATTAATTATTTAATAATTAATTTTCTTTCAAATTATTTGAATTTTAATGAATATTTATATTATACGGGACTATTTGAAAAATTTAGCTTTAGCAATAAATTATTTAGAGATAAAAATAACGTGGACGTACGTCTGGTTGCCTCCGTTCAGGCGATCTATTTAATTCTGTAGGTAATTATATGATTTCCGTATATTTGAAAATAACTTTGAATTTCGATAAATGAGAACTTGATGTTTATTGAAATTATTTATTTATTTATGTTTGAGTTTATACTTTTTTTTTAAATTTTAATTTTAATTTCAAAAAGGTTTGAATATTTTTGAAAAAGTTGTTGAAAAAAATTTATTGTTTCAAATAATATCGAATAAATATCAAGTTGTCAGAAGTAAAATTGCCTTCAATTTTAGATATTAAAATGTTTCACGTGTCATTGGCATTCTTAGAATATCCCTTTTTATTCTTTAAATAATCGCTAGGACAATAGTTACGGTTTTTAATTTGAATAATTGATATGGACTTTAATATTCTCTCTTTAATTTGAAATCACAATTTGACAATTATTTCATATTGAAAATGAAAGGAAATTTTCAAATTAAAATGATATTATCATAAATTCTCTTTAATCAATAATTAATATTTAAGAGGAAAAATTTAGTTTTCTATATTTTCAACATTAATCGAACTAATAAAATTATTATTGATTTTTAATCGCGCATAAAATAAAATGGATACGTATAATTTTTTGAAAATTATTTTCGGAGGTTTTAAATTTATAGTCCATTTTTGTTTGATATTTAAAAATTTCTTTAAAACGTTTCCCTTTTTTTGTGATGGTAAATATTTTTTTTTTCATTACTTCGTTATAAATATAAAGATTTTTACCCCTTTGTATATAAAAGTGTTCATGTCGCTGGATTTCGCTAGATAGCAGCACCCGCTTGATACAGTAGTTACCAAAGTAGAATTTGTTCAAGAGTAATGTTATACGGTTACTCACACATAAAAAAGAAAACCCTCTTTTCAGGGATGTAATACTTCCACCTCTAAAAAGGGTTCATATAAAATCTTTTATGGGAATTTTCATTTTAAAAATCTACTAAAAGCATTTTTTTCGCATCATTTAAAATTCAAGTAATAATTTAGAAAATTATTAAAAAATTTTATTGAATATTTATTATTTATTTCTATAAATAATATTTTTTGTTTTATATATTTCTTTCGTGAATATAAATTTATTTACAAGGATTAATTGATTAATAGTAAGAGATAATTATTTATAAAAACAAAATTTTTCCATCTTGAAAAAAATATATTTAATTTAGAATCAACTCGACTTTTTATTAAATAAATTGAATATTTGGTTCTAGTAAAATTTGATTTGATTCAGATAAAAGTTTTATTTGTGTGGAATAAAATTTTTATTTAAAACAAATAAAAGTATATGTTCGTCTCAGAGCTTATTAATTTATTTGCTTTAAATAAAAATAAAAATTGGCACAAATAAAATTCACTTCAATTATTTTGTCTTATTATTTAATTTAATATAATAAATTAATACCTAATTTTAATTTTATTTTTTGTTTCCTAATTTTTTTAATAACGTTTCTCTTCAAATTTGAATTTTAAAATTACTGCATTGAAAATCCTGACTTTTTAAGAAGAATTTTTTTTAAAAAAAAGTGAAATTTGAAAATAATTGAATTCCCTAGAAGAATTTTATCAAAATTTTTGAAAACATTTGATTTTATTCCAGAAATTTTAATAAAATTGTATTAAAAATAAATGAAATCTCGCGAAGAATATTTTTACTTATGAAAATAATAAAAAATTTTCGAAGAATTTCTTTGAATTTTGTTTTAAATAATGGAGTTATTTTAAAAATTTTTAATGAAAATTTTGAAAGTTGTAATTGAATTCTAAATAAAGAATTTCCTTAAAAGTTTTTTAAATAATCGTGTTTGTTAATAATTGTAATTAATAATATTATTATTAAATTTCATGAAAATTAAATTCTTTTCAATAATTTTTTTGAATCTTTGGGAAAAGAATAGTTTTTTTTAATAATTTTAATTTAAAAATTTGAAAACAATTGAATTTTAGGAAGAATTTCTGTCAACTTATTTTTAAAATAGTCGTGTCTGTTATTAATTGTAATTAGAAAATTAATTATTGAATTTTATCAACATTTTTTGGAAATAATTAAATTCTTCATAGAATTTTATTAAAATTTTTTAATATAATTGAATTTTTTCAAGAAATTAAATAAAAATTGTACTGAAAATAATTAAATTTCTCCGAAGAATTCGATTATTTATGAAAATAATTGAATTTTTATCAAAAATTTGGAAAATAATTGAATTTTTTCAAAGAATGTTATTAACATTTTTAAAAATGATTAAATTGCTTCGTGAAATTTAATTAAAATTTTATGGAAAATTAGTAAACACTTGTAAAGAATTTTATCATAATTTTTAGAAATAATTGAATTTTTACGTAGATTTTATTACTTATATGATTATAATTGAGGTTTTATAAAACATTTTATCAAAACTTTTAAATATAATTGACTTTTTTCAAAGAAATTTATTAAAAATTTTAAAAATAATAAATTGCTTTAAGGAATTTAATTAAAATTTTATTAAAAATATAATTCAATTGTTGTAAAGAATTTTATTAAAATTTTTGAAAATAATTGAATTCTTTCAAGAAATTTGATTTTTTTTTTCAAAAATAATTGAATTTTGGCGAAGAATTTTATTAAAATTTTTGCAAATAATAAAAACAATAATTGTAGGATAGGATTATAGTATAGGAATAATGAGAATATTTCTCTTCCTTATACAATGTCGTTAAATTTTCTTAATAGGTGATGGAAATATGCACGTGCAAGTTTCCGCAAAAGAGTACAGTGACGATATTGCTGCTCAATTGGAGCCTTTTATTTTTGAATTTATCTCAAAAGTAAATGGAAGTGTCAGTGCTGAGCATGGAATTGGATTTAAAAAAACAAAGTTTTTACATTATAGCAAAGATAGTTCTGCTATCACACTTATGAAGCAGATTAAACAAATGATGGATCCTAAGGGGATCTTAAATCCTTATAAAGTTTTATATCCTTTATAAGTACATATAGAAATTGACAAATTGATTTATATAAAAATTTCAATTTTTCGAGATTATATTTTTCCATTATTAATTTAACGTCAAACAAAGTCTGCGAGATTTTAATGAGATTTGAAAAATTGTTTGCAAACAACTCTACAAATTTTATTAAAGTATTTTATTTAGTTTTCAATTTTAATCGAACTTTTAGCTATATAGAAAAAACCCATTGGGTTAAAACTTAATATAATTAAAAATAAAAATTTATTCATTTTGAAATAATTTTATTTTCAATTTAAATTAAATTTAAAAATTAATATTTAGTATATATTTTTAATACGTGTTTTGACTTTCATAAAATTATATTTAAAGTACTTTAATAAAATTTATTGATTTCATTTTTATATAATCGAAGAGAAATTACAAAATTGTAAATTGTAATTTTTTTTACAAAGAATACGAGATTGTTTTTAATTTAGAATTAATTTTAGGAATTAAATGTTACCTGAATGTAACATTCCATTATGAGATAAAACATTGTTTTAAAATCAGTGATCAATAGACGTACATTACTTTAGTAATGTAATTATTGTTAATAAAAAATATATTTTATTGAATGAATGCGAATAATTAAACTTTATTAAAATCTACCGAAAGTTCTTGATAATTATTTTTTAATTAAAACTTTTGTTTCACATTTCATTAATAATCCCTTTTTCAAAAGAATTCGTTTCAATAGATAAAATTCTCTATTGTGAAAAGATTTTATTAAAAAATTTTCCAACAAAAATGGAAATTATATTTATTAAAATGTTTTGACAATTGAAAATTTTCATATTTGATATTATTTTTTTACACTTTTTTTTATATTTTTTTATAATTATTTTCTATCTTAATTAAAAGATTTGATTCATTAATTGTAAATATATTATGGAGTTTGAAACGAGTTTTATTGTAATAGGAGGATTAATGTTTAATATATTGGAGAAATTTGTAGAAGAGAGAAATAAAATCAATGTTCAAGTCTCGGAAAATGGTCGATAGAAACTCGAAATAGAGCCCTCCACTTGTCACTTAGTATTTGACGTATGAAATTATTTATTGACCCTCTCTTCATGGGATATGTCACCGAAATTGAATTATATTTACCTAATTAATTCTGTAACCTGTGATAGGATAATACTCTAAAGTTAGCAACTTGCAAACGATAAGAATAATAAAATTGTATTATCCATTTCTTTTTTAAACAATATTTGAAAAGTTTCAATAAATAATATTTTTTATTAAATAATATTCATCGAATAAATAATAAATAATTTAATAATTTAAATACTGTTCTCGGATATTATGACTTTTTTCAACTAATTTCAAAAAAGGCGATTTTTTCAACTAATTTTCAAAAATGCGATTTTTTCGACTTATTTTCAAAAAATGATTTTTCTAAAGTTTCTTTCAAATATTGCAACAAAATACAAAATGAATTTTTTAATATTTATTAAATTATTAAATTATTAAAAGTAATTAATTTAGAGAAAAGTTTAAATTAAAAATTCTAGAAATAAATTAATTTTTTGAGAAATTGCAGTAGTTTTTTTTTTAAATAATTAAATTTCAAAAAGGTTTTTAATTAGAATTTTTGAAAAAAATGAATATTGAATATAATTTCTATTAAAAATTTTAAAGAATTTAGTCTTTTGAAAAATCTTCATTTAAATTCTGTTTTAATTAATTGAATTAATTAAAAATTTAATTTAAATTAATTTAATTGAAACATTTTCGAATAGTCGAATTTTTGTAAAATGAAATTGAAAACTATTGAATTTTAGAAAGTTTTAAGTGAAGCTTTTTTTTGAGTAATTGAGTTCTCGAAGAACTTTCGCAAATTTATTAAAAGTATAATTGATTGAGAGAAACATTTAAATTAAAAATTCTAGAAATTAATTGATTTTTTAAAAAGTTGCAGAAGACTTTTTTATAATTAAATTTCAAAAGGTATTGAAATTGAAATTTTTGGAAAAAAATATTGAACATAATTTTCATTAAAAACTTTAAAGAATTTCTTTTTTGAAAAATTTTGATTTAAATTAGTTGAATTTTTGAATATTTATTAAATTATTAAAAGTAATTGATTTAGAGAAAAATTAAAATTAAAAATTCTAGAAATAAATTAATTTTTTGAGAATTTGCAGTAGATTTTTATTAAAATAATTAAATTCCAAAAGGTTTTTAATTTAAATTTTTGAGAAACATTAATATTGAATATAACTTTCTTTAAAACCTTTAAAGAATTTATTTTTTTGAAGAATGTTCTTTAAATTTTGTTTTCTATTCAATTTTTGTGACAATCCTGAATAAAATTTTTCGACTTTTTTGGGCCTTAAACTTTATCCGAGGCTTGTGTAAATAATGTAAAATGAAAACATATTATTTAGAATAAATAAATACACTGAAAAGAAATTTATTTGATTCAAATAATCAATTACTTGTCTATTATTATCAAATAAATATTTTCTTGAATCAAATAATTTTTATTTAAATTAAATAAATTTGAATCAATTACATATTTGAACGCATAATTTCAGTATTTGAAGCAAATATGAATTGAACCATTTTATTGACTCAAATAAATATTTAATTGATAGTCAAGTAATCAGTTATTTAAATCAAATATTTTTTTTCATTGTAATGTTTAATAAAAATGATTTTTCATTATAAATAATTCAATATAAAAGTCAATAAAAATCCGAAAATAATAAATGACAAAAGAGATAACAATAAAAAATTGGTTAATTTTTCCAATAAACGATAAAAAAAAGTATAAAATGAAAAATCGATAACAAGATAAAATAAAAAAAATACATAATAAATAGAAAATAAATGGAAATTAAATATTAAATTGTTTATTGAACAAGAAACAAGTTTTTGTAGAAAAAAATATACATATAACTGTGAAGTGGTGAAACATCGTTTTTTTTACGAGAACCTCGATTTATTCCTACTCTATACTCTCTGTTGTAAACCAAGACAGCTGAGACCTTCTAAATGGATTAAAGTCTCTGCTGTAAGTCTGCAAAGAGAACTTCTTTTTTTTTCTTATAAAGCATTCTTCTGTTAATAATCTCGCATGTACAACAATAGAAATAGAGACTTACTTTTCTTTATACTCGTTAAGTTTTTACAGGATATCAGATACAAAAATTTTTAAAAACAATATAATTATATCACGAACACCTATGCGGAATTACCATTAATTGTGTGCAATAAAAAAAAATTACATATGTGAGGGGGATTTTGTATATATGACAGGAAGTTTATTCAAAATATTGTAATTTATTGGAATTCAAAATGATGACCTGCCCTACAGATTATTCCCTAGGTGGGTAAAATTTGCATCAAGTCATTTTGATATTTCACATATATATGTAAAATGGAAATTTCTGCTTTTGAATATTTTTTTTCTGCTTTTTACAATTTTATTCGCAAAATTAATCAAACCATTATTATTAATTTTAAACTGTATTATTTTCTTCTGCTTTTACAGTCTTATTCGCAAATTAATCAAACCATTATATAGGTATATTAATTTTAAACCATAATATTTTTTTTTGCTTTTACGATCTTATTCGCAAAATTATTCAAACCATTATGTCAATTTAATTGATTGTAAACCATAATTCTGACAATATTATGAACATATTTTATGACAATAGCAAAGTGTCTAAATTTAAATTAGTAGAATTTTTACTAATTCAATCAGTACATTTAGTTTTAGAGTTAGTTAATTTTTACAAAATTACTGATTCAATTAGTAAATATGCTGGTAGCAAAAAAAAAAATTCTGGCTATTGTAATTAGCAGAATTCTACTGACAAATAGTCAAATTTTACTAATTTAAATTTAGGGAGAACGTTTTAATATTGTACTATATTTATTAGAGTAGAGTATGGGATAAAAAAGACACTTTTTTTTTTTTTTTGCTTTTGAATTAGTAAATTTTACTAATATATTAGTAGAAATTACTATTAATTAGTAGAAATTACTATTAATTAGTAAAATTTACTAATTCAAGAGCAAAAAGTCAGTCACTAATTCAAATTAGTAAACATTTTTACTAATGCAAATTTAGAGAGTAACTAATTTAAATTTAGAGATTAAATTTAAATTTTAACTTTTCCCAACTGGTACTGAATTCAGTAGGATTTTGAAGCTTAATAATTAAACTTTAAAGTTTAATTATTAAGCTTCAAAATCCTTGTCGAATATATTATTTATATCCCATGAAAAGATTAAGATATAGCAGAGAAAAGCTACTTCGCTATTTTAGCAAAATATGTTATAGATTTTTGGGTTTTTATATTTTTCCTATATTTATATGACAAATAATCTTATTTTTAAAATGTTTTAATAAATTTTAACGAGTTTTTGACATTCAAAATTGTTGTTTGAAAAGCTCATGGAAATGTTTTGTGCAGAGCAACTCGTCTTTAATAAAAAATTGCAATAAAAACTATATATATTATAATATTACAGATACAACATTCAAACTAGAATCAAAAGTTGGATATTACCTATATAATTAAACTTATATTTTTAATGATTGAATTTTTTAAACATAAAATCGAAATTGCTTTTTACCCCATGCTACTCTACTAAAAACTTTAATTGACGATATTAATAACTAATTTTATTACTAATTAATAAATCTACATTTATTGTCATTTGTATTTGTCTATTTCACTAAATGAATTAGTGATACTACTCTCTAAATTTGAATTATTAGTAAAAATATTTACTAATTCGATTTAGTTGACTGATTTTTTGCTTCTGAATTAGCAAATTTTGCTAATAAATTAGTAGAAATTACTATTTATTAGTAAAATTTTATATATGTTAAAATATTATAAAATTAGTAAATTTTACTAATAAATTAGTAGAAATTACTATTTATTAGTAAAATTTACTAATTCAGAAACAAAATGTCAGTAACTATTTCAAATTAGTAAACATTTTTACTAATTCTAATTTAGAGTGTTTTATCGACTATTAAGAAAACAGTTCTACTAATTATTAGCAGAATTCAACTTAAGCAATTAGTAAAATTAAACTAACTGCTAGTAAAATTATGACTAAATCATTTGGTGGACGACCTTTCTTCATTTCATTAGTAATAAGTTTCTACTAATTCAGATTTAAGAAGTATGGATATCAAATTGAGACAAAAAATAGTATCAATT